CATTCCCTGGCAGCTGCTTGATGGAAAACTTCTGGATGGCATCTCACATACCAGATACAAACTCGATGTACAGAGACTCAAAACCAAAAGCCAGCACTAAAGCGTGGCTATTTGAGGCCTATATAAATCAATGAAGATATCTGACGGACTTCAATAAGGGAAAGACATTTCAAACAGCAAGGTTTCGTACTCCTGCAGAAGCCTGCCATCAATCTTGATTTCATTGCAAGTAATTCTGTCAGATGGGAACACAGCCAAGCATGCTCTCAGTTTGAAGGCTAACATGTCGATCTTAATATCAGCACGTGCATTTGATAGATGACTGCAGTCTATAAACACACACAAAAATTTTATCTGACAAAAAAGGAACACAAGCCATGCAGCACATAGAAAGTAAACCCACATTTTCTTTCCCCATCCTTTCACAGGATGCCACTCTCACTGGAAGCTGCTTTCTCTTCCCATTGCTGAATTCCTGTACCCACAGGCAGCTGTAGGCTGTGCAACGTTGAACATAAAAGCTGTTTTCTCTAAGAATCATTGCTTTTCAAGTCGTTTCCCATTTTCTCACTGCAGCCAAACCCACCCCTTCAGCAGGTACTGATTTAGTCTAAGGAACTGTTCTGGTATTGAAAGAAGAGACCCACCAAGAGCTCCAGTTTTCCATTGCTTTTAACACAGCAACTTGGCTTCACTGCAAAGAAACCCTACAACAAGTCACAGAATGACCCCCCTCAGTTCCTGAATCGTTTACATTACAGATTCACTCCTTGCAAATATCACTGCCACAAGCAGCTTCCACACACAAAAAAATTATTCTGGAGGTAGAAATAAAGAGTGAAATCTGGCTACGACAGTGGGGAGACCTTCAGTGCTCAACTGCAGCATTCTGGGGGCACAGAGTGACACAGCTGACTGAGAGGAAAGCCAGCTCAGTTCTGCCACTGAGACAGAATGCTCGGCAGGATGCAGGCACTGCTTCCTCCTCCTCCAGCTGTGTCTCATGATTCCACCCTTGCCAGAGCAGAGGCAGCCTGAGCCGCTCACAGGGCTGCAGGACGGACGGATAGGGTCAGACAGGAAGAACAGATGTCGAAATGAAAGTAAAAGGGCTGCCAGGACTTCGAGCCATTTCCACCTCCTCCCTTAAACCGCTGTGATTAAAGACATGCAGAGCAGCCCTGAGATAAAAAAACACCCAAAACACAACAACAGACAATCAAAACACAGTGACCCATGCACGACTTAGCATTCTCCTCTTAGAAAGAATCACAGAATCATAGAATGGCCTGGGTTGCAAAGGAGCACAGTGCTCATCCAGTTCCAACCCCTGCTGTGTGCAGGTCACCAACCAGCAGCCCAGGCTGCCCAGAGCCACATCCAGCCTGGCCTTGAATGCCTGCAGGGATGGGGCATCCACAGCCTCCTTGGGCAACCTGTTCAGTGTCTCACCCTCTCAGCTCATGGGAAGACTGCACAGGAACCATTGTGATGCTCCTGTACAAAAAGACCAAATTGCAACATCCCTCTGTAGGCCTAAACTTTCTTCTTATAGCATCTGAGTAAATGTGTACATCTGCAACCAATCACAGAGTCGGAGAATATCCCACGTTGGAAAGGACTCACGCAGATCGAGTCCAACTCCTGAGTCCAATACATACCAACAGAAAAAGCTGTGCCTATATTCTACTGCAAAGCAAAGCACAACTGCTGCATTAGAGGAAATATTATTCAATCAGAACCTTGGTATAATTCCTCTATTTTCACAAAATCCTTTGGCTTACAGAAGAAGCCACAGAAGTGAGCCACAGTTCTATTAGCAAACCCTAATTTGTTGGGGTTCTGAGGAAAACTGCTCCCTTCTCTGCCTAGTCCCACACCTCCCTAAGGGTACATTGGTGTTTCTCAAAGAATTTGTGTTTCTTTCTCACCACGTGCTCAGCAATGGCTCTGGACCTCAATGTCCTTATTCAGCAACGTGCAGCTCTCAGCAGAAGGCAAGCAGAAGGAACTGCTTCATCCTGAAACAGCTGGAACAACACATCCAAGCCTTTCTACTAATTGTACTGCAACTGCAGGCAAGCTTCTTTCCCTTTTTTGTACCTATTTGATAAATATTTTTGAGGAGTGGGCTGGAATAGAAAAGAGCAGGGCACAAAACAAGCTATTCCTCATTGCTCTGAACAATGAAAACGTTCAAAAGTTGTTCTAATAGCTACTGGAAATGGAAGTCCAATTCCTGAAAGCCCAAAAGCTCCACCTCTATGCTCAGAATGCTGTGCAAAGAAAGAAATTGTTTAATTCAGCAAATAGCTTCTCCTTCTTCAGGAAGGCCTACTCATAAACCCAAGGGATTTGTTTATAGGAATGACCATAAAAATGGAAGGTCCTCAGAGCATGTTTGAGGAAGAAGGGATGAAGATCTGAACAGGTCCACTTTTCTGTTCCTGGGAACTTGAAGTAAACAGAAGAGCAGTCACTGGTTCCAGTTTGTCTTTCATAGCTTTTCTGAAAATATGTACAGAAATTTAAGCATTCCATTCTCATAAAGAACTATTTGTTCCAATTGGGAAATAATTTTCCTTAGAACTGCCATCCTCCCCTAGAAAATCTCAGTTTCATAGCAGCAGCATTTCCCAAGTGAACAATCTATCTTTACAACATCTCAAGCAACATTATCGAAAAGTAATTATTCCCAGATTAAGATTCAAGACATGTTGCTATTTACTATTTGAGAGCATTTGTTTCAACTTTCAGTAAGCCAGTATCACCCACTGCCTCTGCATCAACACTTCCTTGTTCTCATCCTAGTCTCCTGGTGAACTTTGATACCAAGAACAGTTGTGGCACCATTGACTTCCCTATAAGAAATTCCCTTGGCACCTTTCATTTTTAAAGTTACAAAAGAGAAGCCCTATGGAAGGTGCTGCACTTCCCATCTGCAGTCCTTTTGGCTTGACTGCACCAATGCTGATGTTTAGACTTGCTTTACTCCTTTGTAACAAAGTGTGGTGGGGTCTTAATGAGAGCTCTGACTCACATTCACTGAGAAAAACAACCCAGCTATGTGGTTCTTTTGCTTTTTCACCTCTCCAAGTTAAAACCTCCTCCACCGTTGTCAGTAGAAGGGAAACTTCTGTATCTCAGCTGCTGTGCCTCAGAGTCTGCTGTGCTGGCACTGCAGGACTCCACAGTACAGAAACAGGGGGCAAAAGAGCAACACAGAGCACTTGGTCTCACCACCTCCACTCACACTGGCAAAGACAGCTCACATGTGAACGCTGATTAAAACTCAAGAGGTCCCTGAATAGATGTGAGTTCCAGAATCACAGCGGTTAGAATGGACCCCAAGAGACCATCGAGTCCAACCCCCTCCTAAAGTACCTCCCTACATAGGTGGCACGCGTGGGTGTCCAGATGGGTCTTGAATATCTCCCCAGGAGACTCCACCACCTCTCTGCACAACCTGTTCCAGTGCTCCGTCATCCTTACCGTTAGTTCAGAGCTTCCTATGTCGAGGTCATTATTCCTTGTCCTACTGCTATGCACCACCAAGAAGAGCCTGGCCTCATCCATTTGCCTCCCACCTCCCTTTAGATGTTTATAAACATTTATCAGATCCCCTCTTGGTCTTCTTTTCCCCAGGCTGAACAGCATCAGTTTACTCAGCCTTTCCTCAAACAGGAGATGCTCCAGCAGGCCCTTTACTATCTCTGCAGCCCTCCATTGGACTCCTTCTAGGACATGGCTGTCTTTATGGAACTAGGAAGCCCAGAACTGGACACAGCAGCCTAAATGTGGCCTCTCCAGGGCAGAGTAGAGGCGGAGGATCACTTCCCTCGCCCTGCTGGCCATGATCTTTTTAATGCACCTCAGGATCCCATCAGCTTTCTTGGCCACCAGGCACACTGCTGGCACATTCGTGGCCAACCAGTGTTCCAAGGACCCCCAAGTCCTTCTCCACAGAGCTCCTTTCCAGCAGGTCATCTCCTAATCACGTAATGGCACATACAGTTATTCTGCCTCAGCTGCAAGATTCTACACTTGCTCTTGTTAAAGCTCATCAGGTTCCTCCCTGCCCAACTCTCCAGGTCTTGTTGAATGGTAGCACAGCCCTTCAGTGTGCCAGCCCTTCCTGGGGCAAACTTACTGATGTTAGACTCTATTCCATCATCCAGGGTGTTGATGAAGATGCTGAACAAAACCGAACCCAGCACCAAACCCTGGGGAGCACAGATAGTGTCAGGATTCCAACCAGACCGCACTGCTGGTGACAACCCTCTGAATTAGCAGTTCATTACTTGCCCAAAATTAAGAAAAGGATTTAGATTAATCATTGCTCCCAGAGCCCTGCTTCATCCCCACCTGTGTTAAAATCCTTATCTATATGAGAGCTTAAAGATTAGCATGTTGCATACATTTTGGGTGCTAATCTACTCTTGCAGACACTTGATGCTGTTGCACAGAAATGTATACAGGAGTAACAAGAGCTATACTGAAAGCTGTACAGCTGTACTAGTTAGGGTTGTACACAAGAAGGAAAAATCCTCTCTCACATATGAAAGCAGCGCTGAGGCTTGGAAGCCCATGGTCAAAGATAAATGCTAGAGCACAGCCAGCATGTCACTTGAGGACACAGGCTGAAAGATACTCAGACGTGCAGAAGAAGTCAGACAGTATTTACTACAGAATTAAATAAATACCCTGTCCTAGAACTATTTCAGTATCCCTAAAAGCACATTCATTACCACACATACTCAGATAAACACGGGGTCTCGCTTTGAAATAAAAACCCATCAGTTCACAGCTGGAAATAACAGGACAAACGTCCTTAGTGTTGTTCCTTCAATATTTTTAGGGACAGTTTGCAGAAGGGAGGGAACTCCCTGAACGCCTCTCTCTGCCTGAATCCTCTTTCCCCCTTTGCTAAATAAAAGTCTTCTGAAAGCCACAACAGCTCCTGTAACTTTAAACCTGGGCTGAGATCATAACTTCAGCACTGCCCAAACAGCGCAGAGGGCGGGCCGGGCTCTTCTTTTGAGACCACCTTAGGCATGCTCCCACCCCTCTGCTAAACAAAAAAATGCTGACACCACTCAGATGCTTTGCTTTAGCTGTATAGTTATCATCTGTGCAAACCTCTCCCTTTCAGCAACGGCAGCTAAAGGAATATTTGGAATACCAAAGTCGTTTCTGCAGTGATTTCTTTTCATGATCTCGATTCTTGCTTGACTCTTAAAATTTATCAGTCTGAATCCGTCTGGTCTGAGCATTGGAAAGCTCTTCTCTAAGCGGAAGGAAGATGTTTATTAAAGTTCCATTCTTCATCCTCATTCTAGGGAGCGTGCCCCTCGTAGCACTTGCTGAAGAAGGTAAGAAAAATCTTTACTTCAAAGTATTTGCAGATCTTTTAATTGAGCAGTTTGTGCATTTACTCAGATGATATCGTTTCTCTGTCCTGTCTATAAGGCTCTTCCTTAAAGCAACCACTCAGCAGTTGCTACGGTTGGATCAGGAAAGAGACAGCAAAAGTTTTGTGCTGGGTTCTGTGCTGTTGGAAAGGACTTTCTGTGCATGTGAGCAAAGGAAGGAGCAAAGGGAGCAGCAGTGCAACGTTCATCTGCACTCTTGGAAGTGCCTTTGGTTTCACCACATGCAAGACTGCAGGCAAAAAGTTGTAACCAACATTTAGGTGGTGACGTTCTCTGCTGTGAATGTCACTTCTAAATCTTTCAGTGCAAGAGTTTAACTTCTGTACTCAGAGGTTAATACTCCCTTGGCCATAAGCAATGTGTGCACATGAGGGAAACTAAAGAGGAAGAATTATTACCTACGGCAGGTTTGAAAATATTACATGCCTGGAAAAGTCTGTCTGGTGAATTATTTCTTTTAAATTTGACAAGAAAAATTAGAAGTCTTTCTAACACAGTGATTTATGGACAGTAATCAGAATTGGCCTGAAAAGCGCTTTATTCCAGGAACTTCACATTCATATTTATTCTGTGTAGTATGTGAGCCATGTGAATGAGTTGGCCATGAGGCAACGTGCCCAGCGTGTGCACAGTGATGGCAGCAGTGCCTGGAGGGGTGAAATCCAGCAACCTCTGCTGCAGAACACAGGCATTCTGTTTGCCAGTAACAGTTCTCTGAAAACAGCTTTTCCAAAGCATCAGTCGACTTGGGATCATAGAATGGCTTGGGTTGGAAGGGACTCAAAGGTCATCTCTCTCCATCCCCTCGTCTCACTCGGATTTTGGGACCCCACCTGAGACGTACGGCCTGATTTCGGCCTGGTGACAATCAATATCATTCCAATGGAAGTAACAGCTGTAGCAACATGCTGTACGTGTCAGCGTTGGCTTGTGACTTAACTGGAGCTCCTGATGTTCTGTACATGAGGGTATAAGGCTCATAGTTCAGAGTTACACTTCAAAACTGCACAGAAAATCTAAAAGCAATCCCTATTAGATAAAATGCTAAATATTATTTTCACTGGGTCCCAGCTGGCTTATCTTCCCAATGCACCAGTATTAAAGATACTAAAGTTTACAGGCATTAAAGATAAGGCAAGAAGGCAATGTCGCTTTATAGAACTATCTTAGGCAGGCTCTTGTATACCAGAACTGCAGGAAAAATGGTCTTTTATCTTTAGGCTTTTGAGGAATTTGAAAGTACATTTCCTCTCAACTTTCCTGTATGGAGGATTCTATTTTTATTCACTTTTATTACCAGTATAATTTGCACTGAACTCTGTAGATGGATCTAGAACATGGTTTTGGGGTTCCTAAAGCTGTCTAGGTTTTATGACTTTTCAAGTGGGGCTATCATTCAGGATAACATTCAAAAGCAGGCTTCAGATATAATAAGCAAGGCTCAAGTATTTGTTTCACTGCTGTTTGCCAACAACCATCAACAATTCTGAGTTAGAACAACCTTAGAATGGACGCATCGCCATTGGCAATCTAATTGCTTTGAGCAGTGAGGATGGAAATTTTTGTTGCCTTGCAGATGTAGGAGGTGGAGTGGGTATATTCAGATACCTGAATCACTGAGGCAGGCAGTTTGCCCTGAGGGTTCAAGAGAAAAGCTTCCTCGTCAGAATCTGATGCCTCTTAACACAGACCAGGTCACGAACATGTGCAGCTACTCCTGTAGTTGGGCACTCCAGTCTCCCGATTGAGGCTGAGTCCAAAAAAGCACCACGTTTGTACAGAGAGTAAACTTCCAAAAGGATTGCTGCTTGTTCCAAGCTCCTCCTGAAATTGCTAATTAAGTTCTGTTGCTGATCACATACCTGCGGACTGTCCTCTTCCCCATCCACATAGTGATGCGGAGCTTTAGTAGTTTCACTAGTATCTGCCATCTCTGAGTTGCTGCAACATTACAAAACCCAGAGGGAAAGGAACAACTTCAGAGCCAGAAACATGACTGAAGGACAGCAGTTATCACAGTAACTGGACTATCAGCCAACCTGTGAACAACATGTTAGTGAGAAACAGGAGTCTGGGAGATGCTGGAAGCACGTCAGTGCTCTTCGCTCAAAGCACAGTGAGTTACATCTAACATCAGTAACTTAAAAATGAATGATGATTTCTCTTGAAACAGCCCAGGAAATGTTAAGAGGAATTTTTGGGCTCCAAGTCAGCAACTTCATATCCATTAGAATAGACAGAGTGCTTTAACTGGGTCACAAAGCAGTACAGAAGCTGTGAAAGGATAGCATACAACACTGACTTAGCAAAGAAGAAAACTAAGTTATTGATTTCCTTGTTTATATGTGAGCTTCCAAGTAAAACTGATGACAGTAATTAGGAAGAATTCAGAAAGAAAACCTGGTAACATCATTGCCTGCTTACAAACACATTCATGTACGCTTTGTGTAATCCATTGGTGGTTTCAGTCCTGTCTGAAACAGCCAACTCCTTTGTCATACTGACCACCCAAGGACAGCCCTAAGCACTCCACATAACCTCATGCATTTTGAGACTAATCCATTTCCTACTGAATGATTAGCAGATACATTTGTCCTTCTGTGATCCTGGTCAGCATATGAAAGCCTCAGGCAAAGCTTAACGGGATCAGTCCAACTGAAATGGAAGTTAGCTGGGCAGGGCATTCATCACATGATGAAAGCAGAGTATCCCAATGGAGGCTTTAGAGGCAGCTCATCTCCTGACTTGAAACCTTCCCTACGGTGCAAGTATCAGTATCAGTGTGGGTGAGGGGATTACTCTAGTGGCTGTCACATAACATGCACAAAAATGGACATGATTGCTAACAAGTTCCCACATGTCACTTGAGCTACATCAACAATCTGTGCACCCAGTCTGAACAGGAGGCAATGCTATGCAGTGCCTCCTCGTGCAAACCCCAACGTTCAACAGATCTATGCTAGACGGTGGGACTACAAAGCAGTGAGTGTGAATTGCTGCATCTTGCTAAAATGACCAGCAAAGAACACAGCATTTGCATTCTCCTCTTCACTGGGACACTTGCCCAGCCATTTCTCCAAAGGTAGGAGTAAGTTTTTGAATCTGTGTAATTTTATACAGAAAGGAAACTGTCATATTTACAAGCTTACAAGTGAGCCTTTCATCGACTCAGGTGCCACAGTAAAACTGCAAACAGAGGCTGGATTCTCAGCGCTCGTAACTCAACTTTCCACAGAATCCATGCATTTCCCTCAGATCCTGTATTTCTAAATCCACAAAAAATAAGCAACTGACAACCAAAGAGAGATAGAAGAACATTAAGAATCAAAAAATAGTAAAGCAAGGTTAGCCCACCGTGTACATGCTGCTGGTCTCTGACAGAAGCATGCAGTGTTTCCTCTGTGTGTCATTTGAGGCAAACCATACATGCAACACCACAAAACTAACTACGGTTTGCCCAGCCCTAACTTAAAGCCTTCCTCAGTGGCACGTTTGTTTTGTTGGTTTGTTTGTTTTTTGTCTGGATGTGGTCAGGGACCACAGGATGGAAGCCAAAGGCTGCCAGGTCCCAGCGCTCCCTGCGTCCCACTGCCAGGCTGCAGACAGGCAGGCTCTAGAAGGGCACCAAACCTCAATATCTTCAGTTTGCATTCATGCAGCAGCACAGTTCACTCTGTTGCGTGGCACAAAGCTTGCTCCACTTCATAACAAAATGCAGGACTGGGAATACAGGGACATTGGGAAATTCTGAAGGAAACTGAGAAAAATGATGACCGATTTGTTTCCAACCCACTGTTGCAGTAGCCCTGCCAAAGACTCGAAGGAAACCAACAGTGATGCTGTGTACCCTTCCATGTTGTTTTCCCATTGCTTCATGCTTGTGTATCTTTGTATTTGCTGCTTACAAATGCCACAACGGCCGGCATGAATTGTATCACAGTTCCTCAGGCAGGACTTTCTCTTCCTCCCCTCCCCTCCCCTGCCCTCCTCTCCTCTCCCTTCCTCTTCCCTTTTCTCCTTTTCCCTCCCCTCTCCTCCCCTCCAAGCCCACAGAGGACAGGCTTCATTCTAAATGCATATTAGAACATTTCTTTGACTATGAAACCCATCCAAGTATTATCTAGTGTGTTATTAGTTAGTATGAATGCCAGACTAAACATATCCGAATGGATCTCTCTTGCTGTGTGGTAATATACAGCAAATAGCCAAGAACCACTGTGAGCAAAATGAAAGCCCAAGCAGCATCCAGCTCTGTGCGTATCTCAAAGAAATGAGTTAGGAAATGATGGTGCAAACAGTTCTGCTGACAGCTATGAGGGGTCAGTCACCTTAATGAAGGCTGTGATAAAGCACTGCAGGAAGTAGCTGTGTTGAGCTGGCAGATGTGAGTGGATAGTTTTTGGAAGGAAGTGATTCAGGGAAGATTCTTTTATTACAGTATCTGAGGTCATACCTTAACTCCTTTCATCTGTATTCAGACCCCTGTATTTGTACACAGTTTGTGTGATTTCTGCTGTACATTCTGTAACACTTGCTTATCCAGAGCATAGAATTCTATACTTCTCTCCTGAGGCCACTTCACAGAATCACAGAGCCATAGGAGCTGGAAGGAACCACTGGAGATCGTCAAGTCCAACCCCTCTGCTAAAGCAGGAGCCCTTTACTAAAGCAGGAGAGCCTCAGCTCCAACACTTGTTCCCTTCCAGCCATGCACTGATAAGAGGCATTGTAATAGTGCAGTTTTAGGTGCCACTTGCAGAATGATCCCAAAGAAACTTGCTCATACCTCCAATCTTGTTGCCCCAGCCAAACCCTTCCTGCTCAGAAACCAGAAAATTGCCATAAGACTGTGGCAGGGCAACCTTCTGGTTACAGGACAGCAGAAATCGTCATTCAGTGGTTTAGACAGGTTCCTGGTGCAGCAGCTCTGAGGTCAGTGT